CCATAACGTATGCTACGAGGCTTACAGAAGTAAGTAAATAACTGAATAATAAACAATAATACATAATATCTAGCTCTGGAGAGCATGAAGAATAAATATAATACCAGTACTACTATAATAGAATGTAACAGGTATAAAAATAAAACTGTGGAAAATATTACTACTAAAAGAAACTAAATCAACGGATAATAATAATAATAATATAATAATATTATTATTATTATTATAATAATAATAAAATAATAATAAAATTAACTGCAATACAAAGGAGTTATGACACAACAATAATACAATACATTGACATGTAACTTAATCATACATAGATAAAATACAATAATAATACAATGACACATAAAAAGATAATAATACCATAAGTTAAAACAACAAACAAAGTTGCGCAAGACAGCAAGAGCTTCAGAACACTTCACAAGGTGAATAAAAGCAAGAGGCCAGCAAACAGATGTCTTAAACTCACCTTAAAAGCGCATAAATATGAAGTTTTTTAATATGCAAGTTTTTTTCTTGTAAAGCACTTTAAAAATATTCGTCTTATATTCAGAGACCAACGTGTTAGTAGTACAAGAGAATAATTACTATAAAAGTAATTTGAAGAATCACTAGTATCTGTATTTCAGAAATAAAATACATGCAGGATCTACTTTTAATGCGCAAATGATCCGGCATTTTAGTCAAATCACTATTACTTAGTAAACGCGTTGCAGTTTAATGACTGTATAATTATTTGGAGAGATTGGTGTTATCAAATACGCATATACGCATACACAGATTTAAATAGATTCGATTAATTATAAGACTTCTAAACTTCTAAAAAAGCTAGGATTCTTTCCAAATTATATCAAATGTCAGTTTGAAGCAATGCTCTTTCAATAAAAATTACTGTTACGGATTACAAAATAGAACTTAAAAATTGTAACTACTAATATTTACGAAGCACTTTTTCTGAACCTGAGGAAATAAAATCACAGGAGCTATATATTTTGTTTAATAGTTAATCATTTTGCTTTAAGAAACGTTTGAATGCCCAGCCAAGGGTTAGATAGAAAAAAAAAATCACTCATTTTAAAAATGGGAATTTTGTGAAGTCAACATTTAGTTCCTTCGCTATTATTTATTGTACAAATCCACAATTACAGATCATGTTCATACAGCTTAGTGTTTATTTAGGAAAATTTTGTTTCATCGCACGTGGTAAAATATATAGTGCAAGTGGTTGAACATGGGTACATAAATTTAGCACTTTAAACTACTGAATGCGTAGTACTTTACTATCTCTCATTAACAAAATTTATAGGCAATAAAAGGATTCTCGGATAATTTCGTTTTTAATTTTTCAAACTAATACGTGGAGCATATTTTGAAAAAACTAAATTTTTTATAAATACAATCGTTATTCCTTTTAGGATATAGTTTTTGAACTTATGCTATTTATCAACGACATCAGGAATTGATGTTTGTTTTACTCCTAAATATTCACTGTTTCTAAAAGCTAATTGATTTAAGCACAATGCTTTTTCATTGTACTCGAAATTTGTTACAATTTTTTGAGTCAACACACTGTAAATACTGCTTCTCAAAGTTTTTAACATTTACTTGCAGAATCAAATTTCATTAGTGGCATCTACAAAATGCAAAATTTTAATTCATACTTACATTTTTCTCTCGAATGCTTTTTCGTTTAAAGGTATTTATACCTTTTTTTTCAGTCAACTAATTATCAGATAATAATAAAAAATTACTTTTTTGAGTTTAACTTGCAGTGGCTGCACCAGAGAATGAGAAATTTCTTTAAACATGCAGGATGCTTCCTGAATATAATTATGAATTAATACCGGGTTCATCACTTAAACTAAAATTTAAAGTATTTTTTATAAGGTTGTTACTCAAGGTTTAAAGCTCGTCAATATTTATATAAAGCACTTTTGCATGGAAACATGAAAGCTATTATTTTCTTAACACAGACTTTTCTTACTTTTGTCATAATTTAATAGTCCTAGTTCTCTTTGCCCCGTATCGCATTATTTCGGAAGTGTGTGTGTGTATTTAATTATGGCAAAGCACACTAGGGCTATCTGCCTAAGGGGAGGGATGCCTTCGTGGAGGACATTCTAAGGGAAACTGGCTCGTATACACGTTACACACGGGAAAAACCATATTATTTCGGAAGAAAGCAATAAAGGGGATGATGCAAATGAAAGCTTTCACTAGACTCACAAATATTCGAATGTTCATTGCATTTAATTCCCAAACTACCAGTGTTCGTATTATGCACATAATCTGGAAGTTTCCCCACTCGAAGGAGCGAGTAAGGAGAAATAACAGCAGTCTTTTTGAAAAGGGAAATCAGTTGCGAGGACTTACGCTGACTTTCGAATGTCCATTATTGACGATTAGGCTAACTGTTAAGAGCTCAACGGGATTACTCATTAACTTTAAAAACTATAATCAATAAAGTAATTTTTCTGTGATTTCACACTGAATTTAAGAAATACTGTCAAATGTTGAATTTCGAAAGAAAACTAAATGATGCTTTTCTTAATTAAGAGGGTGATGGAATTAATTTAGAATTCAAAAAACAAAAATCAACGTTTTATTTTCAAATTTTAACAGGACTATTTTCGATGGCTTTACCGAATCATCATCCTCAGCTGCAAAAGCGAAAATGAACAAGATAAGATATAGTGATTAGAAAATCTGTTGAACAGTGATTAGATTCATCTGTTGAACAGATGTTCAACATCTGTTCAACATCTGTTCAACAGATGGTGCCAGTAGCTTAACTCCTGTTCAGTTTTTCTTATCTTATCACTATATCTTATCTTGTTCATTTGTGATTTTGCAACTGAGAATAATGGTTCGGTAAAACCATCGAAACAGTCCTGTGAAAATTTGAAAATATAACACTGATTTTTGTTGTTTCACTTCTAAAATAATACTTCTTCGGCATGTTATTGTGTCTTAATTATAGGGTGATGGGAATTTGCGCAAAAATTTGTCATTGGCATTAATTTCGTTTCAAGGTTGTTCTTTGATTGTATGCTATAATATGTATTTTGTCGTATATTTAATATAAATTGAATCGTTATGGATGGATTTAATTTTAGTTATGAACATATATCTCTTAATACACTTTTTTCCATGTACTAAATTTCAGAACATCCATAATAAAACATAAAATTTTCCGTTTTTCAATGAAGAATCAAGGCTCGTTTACTAAGCTTTCACTGAATGAAAAAACTACAATTTGAATAAATTTAGAGAATAAATGCTATGAAATATAAGAGATATGAGTGGATCCAGGAGAGGTACGATTTAAAACATAAATTATGGCATCAGATTAGGAATTTTATATAATCAATATATGCTTGAATTTTTAAAACCCAAACTATATCATTTCCATATTAAAATTTATTTTGGAGCAGAAAAGCGGACAACTTTGCTCATATTCTATAATTTAGAATCATTAGCTTTCATAATTCTGCCGATAATTGTAGCATAAATTTGTAAGCTTAGTAATATTGCGAAAATCGGCAACAAAACATTGTTTTTAACCTTAATGAAATTAAAATATTTTCCTTTCAGATTATAAGATTCCAAACTTTGGATGTTACTGCAATGTGTCTGGAACGTTGAGAACTGATAAGCGAATAATCGCTTAATTCAGAGAGATAGAAACGTAAGCATGCGAAGGGTTTATTTCCCTTTATTATTCAAAATAAATTTAACAGACGGCTCCTTCTTGGAGTCACAATGAGGCCTCCACTTGGGCTTGAACTCAGGAATATGAATGAATAAAACTTAACTAAAATGGTATACCCGAAGCTATCAAGATTCTAACAGAGTTGGTCCCTTAACGCTAACTAACGGCGAAGCTATCAAGGGCCTAAAATACGACCGAGTGTAATAATAGCTTGTGAGAGAGTATCGCCAAAAGACTAACGCGCGCCGATCAGAATCTCAGGCACTCTAACGAAGTCAGTAGAACTTCACAGTTAAATACTAATTCTCCTCATTTGCACTCAAATGCGATTCTAAAAATACGTTCTGGCCGGAAGTTGAAAGCTGAAATTAAGGCAAGACAGGAAAGTAACTTTAACTCAAAATTAACTGCTGGAAAATTAAATAAACCTATAAGGTATTTCTCGCTTTCCTAGCGTGCCTTCCTGGTGTAGTGGTTCTGCACGCTGGGCCGGTATTCTAGAGGTCCGTGGTTCGATTCCCGACGAAGGCGATTGCTCATTTTTCAACTTGCCTGCTTCCAATTAACCTAATGTCTCAAC